CAAAAATAATGTTCTTAGGAAAAGAACAGTGATACTAACATTACAAAATTAGCCATCATAACAAAGATTCCAAAATGACCACTGGAGATCACAAATTTACATCTGTAAGGCGTTGCTGATTGCTGAAATTGTGGTGATCCAGGGTGAGGGTCATGAGAATAGGTAAGGTTTAAATAGAGACCACTGATGAATAAAGGTTGCAAATGCCTGCACTAAACTAACCGACCATGGCTCGGCCTGCAACACCTGAGAAGGTAGAGGTCCATGGGCAGGGGGCCAACTGCCATGATCCCGAAAGTGCTCCAGCCAAACAGGCATGTGGCCCTCCCTATTGTGAATCCGTTCATACGAGCTGTCTCTAATTGTCTCGCTGACGCCTGGTTATCAGGAATTAGTGGTGCGGTTCAGCTGGAAGAGCATGCGAAAACTACCTACTGCTCCTGCTCCCTCTATTGCTTTAGCCATAGTGTAGCTAGAACGAGCGGTAGGGAAGCACAGTCTTTATTGCCAATGCACAACAGGTTCACAGGATAGCACGCACGCGCGCACGTATAGAAGACATTTCTCGACCACAAGGCACTACACATTCTCCTTTCGCTCGGTGTCTCATTCATACCCGGACTTCAGCCGATCAGTGCAGTCGCTGTTCGCCCATTTGCCCTCGTATCTTCGCTTCCGCACATCCTATTCTGACCGGACTGGATTCGTTCTAATGCCCTTGATCTGCTTAATCGGGGCTGCATTGCTCTCCTCGTGGTGCTTCCAGGAGGCACAGCCAAAGGGGTATCTTTCTGGAAATTCGGGTTGTCCACCACTGCATCCTACGCTCTTCTCGGCCTGGACCTGACATTGTTTATCGTTCGTTGTCCATTTCCGGCTTGTTCCACATGCCTTGAGCTACGCTGTTGATACTCTTCCCCGGAGTTCTGGTTACTTTTCATCTTCGTTAGATTTCGCTGATTGTCCGTTCCGCTTGTGACTCTTGCCTTCCCTACCACTACAATACTATTCCACCAGGCTCCATTTTCAGCACACAGACTCCGCCTTAGTTCTTGCCTAATAGTCCGCCTATTTACATTATGCTCAGAGCCAGCCGGAAGTTTACTTCTGGGTTCCAACAGCTACACTGAGCTCCCAGTTATCCAGTAACTGATGCGGTGACGATTGCCGTTACCGCAAGCGGAGACTCCTGCTTGGTGTATGGCGGCCGAGATCCTGTTCCTTTGAAGATCAGCGTCACTAGGACAAGAGAGCCACTTTGCGGTACGCATGGCATCATAGTGGATTTTCTTGACCGAGAACAGAGGTAACTTCTCAGTTGTCAATTGATGGAGGTGCTTAGGACGCTTTGTACGACATACAGCCTAAGCATGACCAGAGTCTAGTATGGGACCACGCCCTCTGTAACTTATGGCAATGTGATCAATTTGGATTCATCGTTGGCCAGCTATAGGTGGACACCAAGGGGCACTTCAGCGCCTAGTTTGTTTAAAAGCGGTACTATTACGAAGCAGTCGGTGCGCCACACACAGCTGTAATCGACACTCACCGTTGCCCGTACGGTCTCAATTACGATCATACGAAGGACCTAGCTAAGCTTATGATGCACTCGGTGTACTTACTTTTACATTCATATCGCCTGCAACAGCTATGATATCGGTACTGATAACAATGTGTACTAGCCTACTCAGTTCGTGGTAGATGACGACATTGGCATCATCAGAACTGCAGTTAGTGGGAGGCATAAGCGAAAACCATCATCAAACAGCGTCTTTTACTGCTTCGTGAATCAACCTTAGTTAAGGTCGACGAACTGGCTGCACATCCACAGGAGAATCCAATCAACCAACTATGACTCAGCCTTGAAGCTGAGACAGATGCCCATCCCGCGTGGCCGGTAATTGCCGCATCCACGTCTCCAGATGCGTACAATTAATAGCGAGAGGACAAGACGAGTGCAGTTAATTCAACAAACACATGATAGTCATTGATCTAACGCGCAGCACACGTCAATACCCAGTGTGTCCAACGTGTGTGCGAAGAGAGCTGCTTGACCTATTTTCATTAGGGTGGGAAAGTTGGACGCCGCCAAGAATAGTGGACAGTGTGACTTGCCAGTAATCGCCCAGTGGGTTGCGTGGGAAGGTAGCTGCAAATGGTGTGCATCCAGTGCCATTGCAGTTGCGGTCAATTAGGCTGGGAATTATAGGTGCAAGGTAGGTGATGGGGTTGGGGAGTGAGTAAGAGAAACAAATGGAAAGAAATAAGGGAGGCACCAGAAGTAACATGTTTTCGCTCATCCGCACTGCAGTAGACAGCAGATAAGGTGACCTTTGGTAAGCTGCGCGAAGGCCGTTGCATGATGTGGTTGAGCATATCCTCTAGGCGTTCTTAGGTTGTGCAGGGTATTACAGCACATTTAGCAGGGAAAACAGCAAGCTGGCCTAAATCTTATATGAGTTGCCGGGATATCAAATTCTGTTGGACTGCAAGTAGCCCAAAGTGCTTTGGATTCCATACAACGAAAAATGTAAAAACAGGAGCTGACCCTGGATTTGTTTATGGCCTGAGAAATGTTCCCGGTGACCACTGAAGCCCGAGACGCCGGAACAGTTTTGAAACCGAACCACGGTATGACGGAGTACGCTAGCAGCAATGAAACAATGGTTTATAACCTTTAAAAATGCATAGGCTTAACATGTCCCGTAGGTTGATACTAGAAGAAATTGAGAGTTAAATATTACGCAAGCGGACTAAATAAAATACGCATGTAATTGTGTTAAGATGGATGGTTATGGAAGTGAGGTATTAGGGGTAAAACCAAATAACAGTTGGTAATGGTTAATATTCATAGTAAGTAAATGCTGATTGCTAACCCCTCTGCAAAATTTATGTGCGTCGCTGTGGGTCATAATTCCAAAGCCAGAATAAATCCGTTCGATTAACAAAGTGTAGATCATTCAATTTGATAACCAATCGTTTTTGAAAACAGCTGTGGGACACAAACAACTGGGTTTAGAAGGGTATTCCATGGTTGGCAGACCCGGAGGGAGAAGTAATTTCGTCGACAATCAAGACGACTGTGTTGGTGACTCAGTTTCAAGTTATTGCCTCTGAGGTTGGTGTTCGGGCTGAGTTTTAGTAGGTGGCTGTATAGGTAAGTGGGGTCGCTCAGTATCTGGTGGACAAATATAAGGTCTCCACGTAGCCGCCTGTAGCGTCCACTGAGCACTCCGAGTGTCTTCAGTTGTTGCTATTTCGGAAGGTTGCGCTACCCCTTGACAAATTTCGTCGCTCGACGTTAAGGGGTTTCGAGCGCTGCAAGGATGCCAAGCCTAGATAATGTATTCGACGTGGGAACGCACGAAGGCGTTAAGCATTAGAGAGAAGATGGATGAATCCAAACTCCCGAATGCCCTCCGCAAGAAACCAACAAGCTGGGACCGGTGCAGTACAGTTATTCACCCCTAGATCAGGAATGTTTCTCCGTCGTCTGGGCATCGGAGATTGCCTAGCTACTAAATCTAGCGCTCATTAACCATTTCCTATGCTCCTACTTCGAATGGCATATGAGGGCCATGCGGAAACATTCTGTCGCATCGCAACAAAAAGCACAAGGAATTCAAACAGCTCTACTGTAGCAGAAACGAGGCGGTAGGGACGTACAGTCTTTAGTACCAAGGACTAGCAGGTTCGCAGGAGATCACGCACGCGCGTACATATAGATGCCAATTCCAAACCACCGCGCACCACACATTCTTCTTTCGCTCAGCGTCACATTCACTCCCTGATTTCAATAAATCCGCGAAGTTCTTTTTGACCAACTTGCCTTGGTATCGTCGCTTCCGCTCGTCGTGTTATGCCCGGGCTGGATTCGTTATACTGCTCTTGACTGTTTTAATCGGGGTTGCCTCGCTCTCCTTGGGATTATTCCTAGAGGTGTGGCCAAAGCATATCTCTCCGGAAAGTTGGGTTCTTCACTACTACTTCCTGCGCTTTTCTCGGCCTGGGCCTGATTTCATCCGTTGTTCGTAGACCATTTCCGGCTCATTCCGTACGTCTTGAGTTGCTTTGCCGACTTCCGCCCCCTATTTCCCTCCTTAGTTTTCTTCTGTCTTAGTTACTGTGGCTTGTCTGTTCAGCCTGTGATTCTTGTCTTCCATGCCCCCCACACGGTTATGGCAAGCTTGCTGAAAAATTGCCCTGTGCCCAACAGTCTTTTTTATTCCATAAAATGGGAAACAACTTGCGAACGGAATTATAAAACTACCTCCTCAACCACAACATGATTTTCTCCAAATCAGGGAACTAGACTATTTGGAGAAAATGGGAAAATTGTTATAAAATACCAAAGCACCCGAGTCCTGGTTTAGGTAGCTGCTGTAGGCAAAGCGATGGGGCTTAAACAAAACACTTGTTTCGACTTTGCTGGTCCAACCGAAAGGGCACGCTTTGGACAGAATTACCGGACCTTATCCATCAAAACTACTAGAACATTGAACTCTACTCAATAGCATGATTTTTGTTGTGAGGGTAATACGATAGAAAGTGCAGAATCCTTGACTCTTTCGACTGAGGGCTAGACATTAACGACGAACTGATAATTGTTAACCGGAATAGCGCAGGTTGGAGGAACAAAAAATTGTAACGGAAAAGTCATACAGACTTGCAGCAGACATACTCAAACAGCTGTACTTACAATAGTAACAGCAATAACAACAGACGAAATTGGTCGGAAATTGAACGCAGTGTCTTACATTACATTCGGCAGCGGCAGATCTTTTGAGGCTCGGTGCTGATTTTAGGACATGTGTTTGACCGATTTTGGCCATCAGGATTAACAGGAAGAAAGCTAAGTCAGGCAAATCGAATAAAGGCTTTTTAAAAGATAAGCTTCGTGCTAACTACCATGAAGTGAGCAATTTTCCACAAATATAATAGTGTAGGAAACGCTAATTAACAATAATAAATCTGATCTTACTCTCCGCTTCCGCACTCACCATGCACACAATATTTCCACAGATGGTCTACACCCAAGTAAGCCAGTTCCTTCACATGGCTGGTTAGTAGCTCGAGGATGTATGTAGTCGTGCCAATGAAGTACAGATAATCATATACATGAATCCTCCGAATCATCTGTTCATGCAAAACATTAGTTATGCTGGCATGGAACGAGCCCAGTATAGTGTCAAGCAAATGTAGACCGGCTTGCTGTATAAGCACTATACGTGAATGACTTTTCATTGCCTTCATAATAATCCGAAGGATGGCGAATTCTTCTGCGTTACTATTTCTGCCATTGTCACTATGAAGGTGGATCAAAGTTTGACCCATATTTGCAGCATGCCGCAGGATTACCAACGAACCAAGCACCAGCCTCTTGTTTAAGATATGCAGATCCATAGAATGCAACACAACGGATAGCATGTGAAACGGCTGCAGAGCTCCTTCATGACAACAGTATTCCGCTAACCAAACGATTGCTTCCTCAGCACAGCGCTCGTATTTCCAGTTGTCTCGTAGATAATCGTAAACGGCTTGTTTCCCAGAATTTACAGGGACTGGACCTATATGGGAAATGCATAAGGTTTGTTAGTTATTGAAAAAGTCTGAGAAATACTGGCAGTGCTCTACTCTGCTCGAGCTGAGTTAGCTACTCAAGCCTGAACACGTCAGCATGATAAGCCTATGGGGAAAGATCTGAATTCTGCATTTGCAGCAAGGCAGATAAGAACTGAAACACGGAGCGCGGAAAACGCTACTTATGGCTCTTGAGCTGCATGGAACCCTAGTCTAAAATCAGTATATATTACAGACATGTAACCTGATGTCTCCTGCCCAATGGAGAGGGGAAGTAAACACTTGGAAAATTACAGAGAAAATCAAGAAATATCATAAACTTGTTGGCCCGCTTGCATGTGCATTTGGTACAATAATCGAATAGAAATCCAATTCGAAAGTTAGAAAAGGCCAAAAGACAGAATGATTATGACATAAGAGGTACTTTTGTGAAGGGATTTCTTTTAGACGTACACCGTCAGTCTTCGCTGCTATGAATCACTTCTCAGTGGAAAAATCAGCTGCTCTAAGCTTCCAACAAAATGATGGTTTTGGTTGAGCAGAGAAGTATAGAAAATCAAGACCCACTTAAAGGTGGCGATTCACAACCGGCTACGTTAGGTTACCATTGGTCAATTAGTTTGAATTCAGGCTATGGGCATTGCAGAGTAGAGAAAGATAACAATGTCTTTCGCTGGCATAGCCGTTGCTGCGCTAGCCTGATCTTATGGTTTAAGTATTGCTAAGAAGGTGCCTATCAAGTCGCTTGAGCGCGACTTCAGCATGAGCCGTGTAAAGTCCAAATAGAACGTTAATTATTCAGCTAAACTGGTCTACCTATTTGAGAACATGACATCCTAATTCCCTAGCCCCTTAATTATTTCCTTACAGAAATTTGCACATGTTTGATTCGGGCACTGTATTTTGAAACAGTTTACCTCGTTACTTTGCAATATTGGCATACTCGTGGCCATACAAGGTCAACTATTTCACCTTTGATTGACTGCCGTTTGAAACATTGAGTCCCCTTCAACCACTTCCTTAAGGCAGTAAGAAGACTTAGGTTGCGATATGTTAACATTTAGATTGCTTTCGTCAGTCACTACGCAATACAGGCAAAACACAACACGCAATATATTGGTTCCACACTTAGTAACATAGACAAGCAGATAAAACTGCTGAGAATGACGTAATCAGGTCCAGGCCAATCTAATTGATTGCCTCAACTGCGTGTTGTGTTTTGCCTGTATTGCGTAGCGACTGACGAGAGCAATCGAAATATTAACATATCGCAACTTATGTCTTCTTACTGCCTTAATGAAGTGACTGCCGTTTAGCAAACTACTCCACTGTACCTTTGCCGCACGCCGCCGAGCGTATTCCAGTTTCCCTCCTTTCTCGTCCAGATTATAAACATATTCGCAAGTTGACCACTGTCTTTAATTTGATTTGTCAAATCACTGTAACAGGAATTTACGTTCTCCTCTGTTTGCCTAGACCTTGCGTATAGTTTGGGTTTCTTAGGCTACAGTTCTCTTTTTAATTAACCTGTCCGTCGTAAAGTCGCTACAAGCGCTTTGAACAACGTTAGTATCTACTGATAAGTGAATGGAAACTTGTATGTGGTAAACAGCCTTTTGCTGTATTTGTGAGTGGCATTCTTACGCTATACACGCCAATAACTGTTTGGTATTATGCCCAAGGTATTGCGAACCACGTATATTAGCGTAAGAGGAAGCACTCCGATCAGATCAACCGCCATACTTTGTGGCCTTATGAGGTGAGTAAAGCGATTTTGATAGGTACACTGATCCACATATTTTAGGCCGTTTGTGGTCTTTTCCCCATTGTCTCCATTGTAATTGATACAGGAAACAGGCTCAAGGAAAAGTATTTCTTCCTCTCAGTCTTCTCGCTTGGTGCTTAATATGGTAGGCCATCAGTTTTCTTTTGACGTCTTTGTCGCCGTACATGTATAACCTATGGCAAAAAGCTATAGTACTTTCAAAATTAACAGGTTGGGGTCATTAGAAGTTGGGCCTTTCATTAGAAAGAAAAAGCTAGGAGACGGAAATGTGATCGAAAATGTAAAAGAAAGTCCGGGACGAGTTCAAAACAGTAATCCTTACCTAGAGAAAGCGCTGACTATGCCTTTTGTGTTGAGCCGCTAGAGACCGTAAAAGCATAAACCGCTAAGTGCGTGGCTTGTGCAGTATGAATACTGGATACTGTCCTTACCCAAGCGATAAAGTAATGATGGTTCTCTCAAAAAACCTCAATTTACTGGCTGTTTTCTGAGCGACAGGTTATTCGGCAAGCAAGTACAAAAAACTGGACGTAACTCTTCCAGCTTCAGGATTTGAATATGGAGACTAGTTGAGCTTAAGGCACATTATTGCTTGGAATGCTGTCTTTGGGTGCCGCAGTCCATTCCATTTCTTTGGGTAAAAACATGAACTGACCTCAAAAAGGGATTTGCATTGCAGCACTCCCGATTCTATCGGCAAATTAGTAGAACATGACGAGAACGAAATGCATCCGCCGATCGAAGTCATCTACAAACCGCCATTTCAGAGGCCCAGGGAATTATTAACTTAAAACACCATATTGTATGATCGAGAATATGAAGACGCGTTCCAGTGATTTCGCAGTCCCATGTAACCAGTTCTGTTAATACACTTCAACATAGCAAGAACAACCAGCATTCTGTGAAATAGACTGAATGCAGCTTAGTTCGTGTGTTCTTAATCAGTCGCTCACAAACGCACAGTGGGAGAATTTAGTGAGCAAGTGTGACATGGAATCAATAAGGCAACCAATTTGAACCAAGGGCGATCGGGATCACCACCTCCAGGGGCTGATCCCATGCCCTACCATGACAACTCTAAGCTGGACACGAGATCAACTTGCCTGCAAAGGTTGGTCTTCAACCGCTGACCTGCGGAAGCCCCGGCAAACCGGAGTAGTGTTGGACTGTTCTGCATACTGACGACCTTGACCGAGTTACGGGGGTCATGACATGCATTGCAATCGTGTAGGTGTCGAGCATTAGAGTTGGCAGGTAGCTTAGGTTCGCTCATCGCTACGCCTCGTGGAACGTGCGCCATAATCTTTGTAGATAACCTTCTCTCAAGTAAGAACTAGGATGACTCCCAAACAGCAAATTATAAACTGTCGCTTTCTCCTGAGTGCTTGACTGACCACATGCCATCTAATCAGGAAAGATATGTGGTATACTTGCCTAACGTCCCATTCAGTCGGCTTCAACTGCAAGCGTTGTAGCTTGGCTGCAACTTCTTCGTAGCATCTGGTATGAGTGATCGAATAGGGATCGAGACTCATTTGGGGTATCTTTACGGGCATCTCCCTTGCTTGACCCCGGCAAGCGAACACGCAAGCAGGTTTAAGGTCAGGGCAATAGACTTGGCGCATCAATTCTGCTTTGCATCGGCTGAAAAATGCGCATTTATTACCAATAAGTACATCGAAATGAGGATGTAATGATACTAAGACTTGACAAAGTTCCTGGCGTCGTTCTGATAAGCAAAAGGGGCTATAAGCCATCTTTGATTCGCACCTGCTTCCCGAGAGTGCGCCGAATCTGTTCCGCAGAGTCAATCACGAGTGAACTGCAACGCATTGTAGCAACACTACGCGATAATGGGTAGCTTAGTAAAATTATAGCAAGACATGAGGATGAAAATTTTCAATAGGTCAGACAACCTGATTTTCCAAATACGGTGTTTATCATTCTACCTTGCAACGGGGAACAAACTGTCAGGTGGTTCCGCCACCAGCTACAGCGCTCCATACAGAGGTGTTATTACTCAGCTGAGCTAGTGTTACTGCACCAACCAGAAAGTTGTTGCACCACTCCAACCTAGATAAACCTTTGGCTCAAGTCACCGCTGGCTGCGTTTATCAAATTTACTGTACGTGCAGTAGCATGTACATTGGTCGGACTGAGAAAAGTTTATCTACAAAGATTATGGCGCACATTCCACGAGGCGTAGCGATGAGCGAACCTAAGCTACCTGCCAACTCTAATGCTCGACACCTACACGATTGCAATGCATGTCATGACCCCCGTAACTCGGTCAAGGTCGTCAGTATGCAGAACAGTCCAACACTACTCCGGTTTGCCGGGGCTTCCGCAGGTCAGCGGTTGAAGACCAACCTTTGCAGGCAAGTTGATCTCGTGTCCAGCTTAGAGTTGTCATGGTAGGGCATGGGATCAGCCCCTGGAGGTGGTGATCCCGATCGCCCTTGGTTCAAATTGGTTGCCTTATTGATTCCATGTCACACTTGCTCACTAAATTCTCCCACTGTGCGTTTGTGAGCGACTGATTAAGAACACACGAACTAAGCTGCATTCAGTCTATTTCACAGAATGCTGATTATTCTCGCTATGTTGAAATTTCGATGTTCAGCTGATTTCGGGAGACATGTTTCCAGCCACTGATCGCAGGATGCTCCCTCAATTTAAGCCAACATCACAATGTTTACAATGCGAACGTTAACAATTTGTTAGATGGTATCCATTCAACCAGCATATCTTCCAGAAATATCATAGATGCAGGCACAATGAAACTCATTGTCGATGCAAGCCATCTCTCAGACCGGTTTATATGGCTCGAAAGGATAACTACGGTCAATTTGTGAATAGAGTGAATGCCAATTTTATTGACCATGTTAGTGAGCGCAGAAAGTACGTCAACATAAATGGAAGACAAGTGCGTTTGCAGATCGATACGGCCTCAGACCTCACGTTCACATCAGCAAGGTTGTGGTGGATTGTCGGTTCGCCAGGTGGCAAACTTACCAGTTAGCATGCAATAATTGCATCAGGTGGCAAGTAGAAATTATTTGGTTAAGTCGACTGTGAGTGTCGACATGCCGGCTTTACCATATGAGGAACTATTTTCGTATCGAGTCAACAGAATTTGAATCTAGATTATTGGTGGCTTTTGTGAGTAGTGTAAGCTTTTGTAGAAAGTAGAAGCCACTA